ATATATATATATATATATATATATATATATATATATATATATAAGAGAATATATATAAATATATTTCTATTAAATATAAATATATTTAATATTTCTATTATGAAGTATACATATAAAATTATTTATTACGTATGACGTTCCCAATTTTGAACGAACATTTGACGAATTTACCGAAAATAACAGATTATTCCCGAGTTAATAATTGCGCCGGCATTCAAAGTTCATTATTGGTTTGATAAATTTGGCTATTATAGTTTCATGAATTTTTGATTAATTTCATCAACTTATACATGTGACGAATAATTCATGTAACAAGAAACATTAATTCACACAGCCAAATAACTATCCATAACACGAGACTGTAATTAATTATGCTCTGAATGGAAGATCTAAATAATGTGCAATTTTAAATATTCTATACAGCATTGTGTTCACATATAGATAATCGAGAATATTAAATAATTTATATTTCAGATAATCTCGAATATCTCGAGTCCTTTTTTAAGGACAGTTAATAGGGAGAAAATGGCGGAAGAATAATAATTTTGCAGCACTGTGAGAGGATAATAGTTTGTACAGTGTTATATATATCGAGATTCTCCATTTAAGATCGATGAAATTCGTATGGTCATCCGAAATTTTGACTCGAGTTCTTCCCGCTGCTTTGCGAGAAACACCCTATATGCAGGTTGCATGTCGATCGGCGCCGAATGCAGTGCCGCGACGACGAATCGACCCTTCGTATTAAAAAGTCGACGTAATTCTACCCTCGTGCTACCGGTTCAGACGTTTTTTCCAGATGCCATAGCCGATACCGCGGCAGCTAATTCGTCGGAAATTATGCACGCGAGTCGTCGTATCGTTGACTTCATCATGCAATCGCCAGTCGGTAATTGATGGCTTTGAAATCCGGAATCAAGATTGCCTTCATTTATTTGATTAATCATTCTCATCGTGGCGTGTTTGCTCGAGAAATGCGGTACAATTATAGCCGGCGATTATGGTCAGACGTGAACGCTGGTGGACATTAGCAAACATCAATGTTCGACTGTTTGCAGACACGCATGCACGATGAAATTTTGCTAAGAAGGCAAATGTGCAACGAGCTTGACGCGACGTCCGGATAACGTGACCGCGGGTTCTTGCCGCGCGTGGAAGTCTCGCCGACGACGGTGGCCTGACATTCTGCGAATCGCTATTGTCGCCTTCACCCCCCGTTGGTTCGCGAGACGACGGCATACAATGTGCTACACACCCCCACCGAAAGAGCTCACGGTTTAGCCTTGACTGCACGCGGGGGTTGCTATGGCGATAACCAGGCCCACACACACGAGCGAGCATACACATACATACGCAGTCCGATCGCGCCACCCCCGCGCAGGCAATAAAACCCCGGTACCAACCCTCTCCTTCTCTTACGAACGGCGACTACCAAGAGTGTGACCCCGACCTTTCAGGTGGATGACCTCCGCTGCATCGCGGATGCGCGCGCACCAGCGGACCTCACCTAGACATGAACTACCCCCTTTCTAACCGAATCGACCTCCGCCCCCCAAGTATAAATGTAAAAGATTTTACTCAAGAACAGAATTGAGACTTTGTGCAAAAATTTGAGAGGTATTAATCAGTAAATTAATATCAATCAGAATTTGGAAATCTGAAAGATATCAATCAGTATGTGTGTGTATGTGTGCGATTATTCAATTGATATTTGATAGATAAATGATAATAGAGTTCACAGATACGCGTTAGGTCGATTTGTCGTCTTTCATGAAATTAAAAGAAGAGAATATTACTTGTACACTTACCCATGCGATGCAGAAGTAGCGGAATTGCAGTGAATATCTGCATGTTGCATTAGGAAGATATAGACACGTTCATCTGTAAAATACAAAAATTTTCATGTTAACGCTTATATATATATATATATATATATATATATATATATATATATACACACACACACACACACACACACATATATATATACATCTATAATAATTAATTATAATATTTATAATATATGGAATTATTTATAATAAATATAATAATTGATTATATATTAATGATAAAAGTACTTAATATGTATAATAATCATATTACACAAAATGCAAATGGCGCACATATAAATGATTTATTTACAGATCGCGTTGCTTCGCCAACTAGCGACTTTCTTGAAAGCCTTTTCGTTTTTTGCGTGTTCATAACGTATACTTAACATACGTGTACTCATATACATATACGCACATGTATTCACTCGCGATTTAATAAAATACTGCAGATTACGATGCAACGCGCATTAATATGACCATCGCACGAACTTACACGGCATTTTGGACGACAGTGACACTCGACGCGACGTTTTGTTATTCCTCAATTGGAGAAGAACGCGAGAAAATCCGTATCACACTCACGCACGGCGTGCTATCGGACGCTCGTAACGGATGTCGAAAATTCGGAAGACCCTTTGCCGTTCCACTCGCCGTGACGTGACTTAATATGAATACTCACGAGATCAGCAGCGCGAGCCGCGTGTTTCGCGATATTTGGCCGGGAGAATTACGCGCAAGTACGATCGTACGAAAGAAAAAATCTGCGCGACGATCATTACGCGACAAACTGCCGATTAACAGTAATGGACGCTCGAATAGTGCCCGCCGAAATTATGCCGCAAACCTCGCGTAATGAAAAACACTCGTATCTATTCATAAGGTTTGTTCTCATTGCTTACACTTTTAACACTTCTACACTAATGGTGCAATAACTTGTTTGATTTAGAAATTATGAATAATCAGTCGCTGTTTGTGTTACGAGTATATACACGTCTTGTATATACGTCTTATATACACGTCTTGTATATAAGAATATTACATATGAACAGCGGTTATAAGACTATTTTCGATAACTCAAACGAATCAGTACACACATAGTGTAAAAATATTAAATGTGTAAGCAACGCGAACAAATCTGTTGTTACCATGCACTTTTTACATTGGGTGGCGAATCAAATGTTTGCGTGCGTAAATAAATAAGTATACGAAATCTGTGGAAATAAAAAATAATAAGGTAAAGTGACGAAAACTATAATACGTATACGAGAAAATGATGTATTCCTGCGATATTTAACGACACGAGTTAAGTACTGCATCGATCTGAATCGGTATCGATTATATTGGATTGCGATCGATCTATATGTGATCTAATAAAAGATATAATAGATATTCTCTAGAATAGATACGATATATAATATTCTATGATTTTCTATTTAATATCGTGAATATTAATATGATTCCAAAACTTGTATTTATAAACAGATCTTATATTGAAGATTATCTCAAGTTTATTTTCAGATACCGCGTGGCCAATGAAACAATCCATACAGCATCTGAGGATAAACATAAGACGATTTTAAATATGTAAGATTCAATTATGAATATCACCTCAAAGGTTGGCGCCATCTGGCGAATTGCGACAATTAAGATCCAGTGAGAGATCCAGTAAGAGATCTGACTATATTTACTGTTTAAAAACGCATTATCTTGTTGTCAATCTATTCGACACTTGTCACGTTTGGTTCATGGCTGAAACATTCAACAAGGACACGTTTGGTCTCTGTTTCTCCCGATACTTCTTTCCATATTATTCATGTCTCCTTGAAGATGACAGTAATAATGGTGAGTATACTACATGTATTACTACA